GAGCGGGGGTCAACTGCTAAGCCACGCCTACCCCCGCTATTTAAGACCTGACCTCGTGGTGAGCTCTCTTTCTACCTACACCAACCAGCCAGCAACACCTCCGCCTGCCTGGCGGTCCTCCCTCCCGCTGGCGAGCATGGCGACCCACAAGCTGTCCTTCTCTGAGCGTCCTCACCAACCAGCTCTCTCTACATCACGCTTGTAACCATGCTGCCTTCCCAGCACCAAGCTGCATTGTACATCCAATACAACATGTATATAGAGAGCACATTGTGAGTTTCCTTTCTCCATCCCATCCTGAGTGTGAACCAAACATCTCATACCCCACAAGATAAAACAATTAGTACAGTACTCCTTAATATTTACCATTGTTATTCAGCACACAAGAAACTATACAGGTCCTACGGCCTACGTGCACCGTATACCTATACATTTTCTTTATTCGTGCTGAACTGTATGACTGCATAGTTTATAAACATTATTATCCAATTGTAAATGTGTATGCTAACTTTACTGAATAAATATTATTATTATTATTATTATTATTATTGAAATATAACGTGAAAGAAAATAAGATCGTACCAAAGTTCTCTGTACAGATAATAAATGTCATAAGAACATAAGAAAATAAGGAGTCTGCAATAGGCTGGTTGACCTATGCATGACAGCTCCTGTCGAGAGTTACTACCACTCTCTATCAACCAAGAATCTATCTAGCTTCCTTTTAAAACTTTCCAAAAATAGTAGCAGGGTTATTCAAGTCATTTGGGATGAACTCGTTTCTCCAGTCGATGTCGCCATAGTTAAGGTCCACCATGATAAGGAGGTGGCTAGGGTTGAGCATCGCCGAGTTGTCTATTAAGGCTCTAAAGTTCCTTTGATTTAGTGGGCCATAGTTTGGGGATCTATAGATACACCCGACGATAAGTAAGTCCCCTCCATTTAGTTTAATTTTACACCAATTGGACTCTTCAAAAACATCCTCTCCCTGTACCCTCGCCTGGCTGGCTCTAAGGTCTTGCCTAGCATAGATAACCACACCCCTCTTGCAAGTTTCTTGAGAAAGGTTCGTAAATGAGTCATATCCAGCAATACTGAACTCGCACTCCTCTGGGTCGATTCTACTGTTCTGTACAGCAGTTCTACAATATCGGGTTGGTGCACCTTCAGTAGTGTTTCAAACTCCTTTCTCTTATCGAGGAACGTGTCAGTATTAGTGTACATGACATTCAAGCCAGAATTTGTTCTCGGTAACGTCTCTGCTCTTAGTAGTAACTCCTGGCCCCCTCCATTCTCAGAAGCTGCAGCATTTGCTAAGTACACTGTATTTTGCAGGGTATGGTTAGAAATGCCATTGTTTACACAGCGCTCGCCTCCTCCCGGCTGATAGGTGGGGCTAGTTCCACCTCCCGGGTGGGGGGTAGAGCGGGTGGAGGGTGCGCTTCTGCCCCCTGGCCCTGTGTCGGCACACTTGCTTCCACTACCCTCTCTCTGAATATAACCCATGTACACCCGTCCCCGTTCCTCCTCGACTCTTCCCTTCTCTGCTTCAAGCCCTGCAGGAGCTTCTTGTGCTGTTCCCTCTGCACGCTCCTTACTAAGTTGTTTGCCTGCCGAATAACCTCACATTTCTCCTCCTCACTCACTAGTGCAGGGGTGTCAAACTCATTTGCCAAGGCGGGCCAGATTTAATATGGGTACACAGTATGCGGGCCAAGTAACATAATTATGAGCACTTCGCAATCACCTCTTAGGTAAGTAGTGCGACAAAATGAGAAAGGTGGATTTAGTCTGAGCTCGTGCGAAACCCTTAAAAACAAACAAATCAAGTGTTTACTTACCTTGATCAATCTTATTGTTTGCTACTGCTGCTTCCTGATAATTGGCACCTCTTGGTATGGACCAGCGCATCAAAGTTTGGCACTAACGATTTGAGCTGTAGCAACCTTCAGTATTGAATTAAGGTGCGCATCAGTAAGTTGAGACCGAAGCCGAGATTTGTTCAAGTTCATCACAGAAAAGAGTTGTTCACAGATATATGTACTTCCGAACATTGACATAATTTTTGAGGCAAAATATTTAAACCTGGGATAATTTGGTCCAAAATGTTGATAAAATGTGCCAACATCAACACTCGAAAACTTGTTCCTCAACACAGAATCACACTGGAGCTCAATTAATTCTAATTGAAGATGTTCTGGTACCTCATTAACACCAACTGAGAATGGGTCCCAAAAAATGAAAAAAAATCCTTCTCAAGTCTTTCAAAGTCAGCAAATCTTTCTTGGAACTCATTCATTTATTTGGAAATCTTGATGCAGTACTTTTTTGTGTTGATATCAGCATGAAACTCAGGTATGCCTTGTAGGGACTTTAAGGTCGGAAAGTGAGAAAGATTACTCTCTGATAGTTGCCGTTCAAAAAGCTGAAGTTTCATCTCAAAGGCACGAATGCAGTCATAAAGCTCTGTCACCAATTTATTGCGTCCTTGCATCTTTGTATTTAAGTAATTTAAGTGTTCTGTGATATCCACCATGAAAGTTAGATCTTGAACCCATTCATTATCTTTCAGTTCATGCAAATCCCTTCCTTTCTGTTCCATAAACATCTGTATTTCACTGCACAATTCATAAAATCACTTCAGTACGACTCCCCGAGTTAACCAGCGAACATCAATGCGATATGGCAGTCTGTGTGTGTTCTCATTTTCCTCCAATAAGAAGTTGAAATTGTCTGTGGTTCAGATCTCGCGCGCGTATGAAGTTCACTGTCTTTATAACAACATCCATGACATTATCCATCTTTAATGTTTTACAACACAACACTTCTTTATGTATAATACAATACACATTATAAATTTGATGGTTCGGGTTCACAGCTATTAGTTTTTCCTTTAATTTTGTTGCCACTCCAGCTTTTCTACTGTAGTGGACGTCTCCCCTACAACTGCCTACAACTGCGTAGCCACGCCACCACCTGCTATCGCCTTCCCTAGCAACCAACCAGATGTTACCGTATCTTAGCAACGGAACTAGTCACCGGCGACTTTCTGGGTTTTCCCAACATGATTCATAGAGGACTGGCGGCTGCTGCTGGGTATATAAGCTCTGTCTCTCCATTGAGATTCATTCTGACCATTCTTCTTGAACAAGCAACACCTCCTCCTCTGCCGCTGCCTGGCTCCCTTCGCTTCTCCTCGCCTGCCTGGCAGCCCTCGCTCCCGCCAGCGAGCATGGCGACCCACCAGCTGTCCTTCTCTGAGCTTCCTCACCAACCAACTCTCATTCTGGCCCATCTTCCTGAACACGCAACACCTCCTCCCAGCAAGCTCCTAGCTGTCCAGCATTCATTCAACCAGGAGGCCAGCAACAGGAAACATCTTCTCTAACGAAGCTCCTGCACATCTACCTCCTACAACACGCTACTCACCACACGGCACCTCCAGCACCAGACTGTCTATCATGTAACTTATATTATACAAGAAAACCACATTAGAGTTTCCTTCCATCCTGAGTGCTAGACAACATTAATATCTCGATACCCCTACAATGGTGACCCCGGAGTGACATTGTAGGGGTATCGAGATATTAATGTTGTCTAGCACTCAGGATGGAAGGAAACTCTAATGTGGTTTTCTTGTATAATATAAGTTATATGATAGACAGTCTGGTGCTGGAGGAGGTGTTGCTTGTTCAGGAAGATGGGCAGAATGAGAAAGCTGGTTGGTGAGGAAGCTCAGAGAAGGACAGCTGGTGGGTCGCCATGCTCGCTGGCGGGAGCGAGGACCGCCAGGCAGGCGAGGAGGAGCGAGGGCAGCCAAGCAACACCTCCGCCGCTGCAGTAAGTGTTAATGTCCTCGAATTTTACAGATTTCAATATAGCAAATTTTTCGTTTGTGTGATCTGTTTTTTCAAGTTGGTCATTGTCCGTACAACTCTCTTTTGTGCAGTAACCAGAGATTGTGTTTTTGAAGAGCCAGAGGCCCCCCCCCCATAGTGTGTGACAGTGTATCAGGTGTTGGTAAACAAGATCATGATAGATTTCTTTCATTGCTGTGAGAGTGAGTGACTGTCGAGTGTGATACATGATACCGCACTATTTATTGATTTTACTGTGAATGGCTTGTATGTGGTTTCTTCAGTTAAGTGTCTCATCAACAATAACTCCCAGGAATTTAGTATTTTGTTCGCGTTTGAGGACTATATTACCAAGGTACAGGGGGTTCAAGTCTGGAGGTAAGTTTTTTCTTCTGTGAAAGATCGTGTAGTGGGTTTTCTCAAGGTTTAAGGTCAGTTTATTACGTATTACCCAGGTCCCTACTTAAGTTAATTCAGTGTTCATAGTTCTCATCAAGGAATGGAGGTCTGAGTTGCTGGCATAGAGATTACTAGCGTCTGCAAATAAGTTTTATTTTATGAGTGAGCTGGCGTGGACTATGTCGTTTATGTACAACAAAAACAGTACTGGACCGAGAATTGAACCTTGGGGGACTCCATACAATATTGGCGAGGAGTCAATGAATATGATGTATTTCTTTGTGTACGAACCTCTGTCCTGTATGGCAGTGAACAGTGACATTACCAACATGAATCTGATATATATATATATATATGCTGTATATATAGATAGTATATATCTTTGTGTATGAAACTCTGTCCTGCGTGGCAGTGAGAAGGGTTCAAGACCTGACTGAATTACTCGGAATAGGCAAACTGCACTCCAGGCTTTGTCAATAAAGTTGTTAAACTAAAAAATATTAAGTACGCTGCACTAGCTGGTGTTGAATTTCATTTGCCAGTTTATGTAGATCATGAACAAGAGTAGGCCCAGTACTGACCCCTGGGGAACCCCACTGGTTACACATTCATGTATTGTACTGGCAAAATACGGTTAATAATCTTATAAGTGGTGAAATTATGCATAACAAATAAAATCATATTGCTTAAAAATGCTTAACAGCCTCAACGACAACTGTTGCAGATTGTACAATCGTCACACAAGTCTCGGGTCAAAACATTGGAATCGCCATACTAAGGGTGTGGCGCTGGAAGACTAGAAGCCCTAACTCTTCTTGAGGCTTTTTAGTTTTCATTATTTAATTTTCCTTAATTATGTTTATTTATTGATTACCAGAGACCAAGATGGAGGGGTTAAAGGCGCTGCTGATGTGGTATATGGCTGCCACCTTCGGCATGATTATGGCGCAATTTGAGTATCATGATAAGGATACTTTTGACCAAATAGAAAATTTGTTCAGCCTCGTCACACCAAGGAACTGCTTCATCAAACCGAAGGTGGGTACAGTATTTATTTGGTAGTATGATTAGAAAAGTTCCAGAACTTTTTAATAACTTTACCAAAAACCTACCCTAAGATTCAAGAAGTTTTGAGGAATTTGTAGGTAAAAAAAAATACTTGTAGTGGATACAGGTATGGCAGCTATATGCCAAAAATCACACTGGGTATAGGTACGGCAACCATATGCGAAATGTTGATGTCTTGGTATGGCAGCTTAATGCCATGTGTGTTAGGCAGGATATACAATGATCATTACGAAGATGGCCTTCTTTCTGACTAACCAATCCAAACTTAACCTGACCTGATCATTAACGGTAATTATTGACGACTACACCACCGCCGATTTTTCAAAGAAAACGAATTTAAAAATGCTGCAATTTCTCTTATTTTATAGTGGACACTCTTAGTTATGGTAAATGTGTTAAAAAGTATTTATTTAAAATTTCACTCTAACCTAACCTAATCTTACCTTACCTAAACCTAATCTAACCTAACCTTACTAATTTAACCTAACCCCTCCAAAAAATAATTTCATATCAGAACTCGCTGATGAAAATATAATGAGAATATAAACATCAAAACAAATAACACATCGGCGGTGTTGTTAATATTAGCCCCATTAACAAAAAATGTCAATTTATAGTCTTACATTGGTCTTTCTCCCGCTGTTATTAATATGTAATGTTTAGACAATTCTAAGACTTTTTCTTTGATATTTCCGCCGGAAATTAAGGATAACCGAGATATTAATTTTTCAATATTATTAGATTTTCTCAGTCACAAGTGTTTGCCATGAGAAAGACAAGTGTAAACTACAGTATAAACTCACCATAACTAAATCTTTCAATACGGCTGCCGTACCTATATCCATTGTGATTGGCGCATGGCAGCCATACCTGTAACCACTAAGAAAAAGGGGTAAAAGTGGATAAAAGTGTACAACAGGGGCACTATTAAATATTTTTTTTTAGAATAATGGTGATAGAACATTTGATTCTTGGGTAAAATTTGACTCTAGTTTTTGCAGCAGAACTCTTATTTACCTCATGGCCACTCACTATAGGTGTCCATGGCAAGGGAAGAAGGCCAGTGGCCTGTGTAGGATCCCTCTGTTGTTCTTGATAATATTGTCAAGGGCTATTTTGAAGCCCAGTACTTTCCTTGGGTCTATCATCCTCTGCATGAAAAAGTATTTCCTTATACAGGTATGCATTCTCCATGATAACTTGGCTAGCTTATAGTTAAGCCCCCTCGTGTTGGTGGTGATTGACATCACAAATAAATGTACTTATTACTACCATGCTATTGTACTATTCCAGATGATACTAAATATTACATAATACTTCCTTGAGATAAATGTACAGTATATATCAGGTGCCTCAAAGAGAGCTCAGGTTCTCAAATGGCTCAGCCATGTTCATATTGTTAGTATTATCCACTCTGTATCTGTATTTTTCTGGCTAAATAAAATGTTTCAATCAATCAAACCTATTGTGCCTTGGCCTAAGGCCCTCAAGTCAACTTGGATAATCGAGATGACATAGTTCTGGAATCATCCTAGTCACTATGTGTTTCACTTTTCTCGGGTTTATATGCCTGTGTATACAGTGTTCCAGACTGGGACATACTTGAGATTTATACTGTTGAAGGAGCATTTTTCTATCTTTATATTCAAAGGTTCAGTACGCTTTATAATTCCCAAATCTCGATTTAATGTTTTCGTTGTTGCCTCCACTTGTTGTACTGCCTTCATTGAATGATCTAACGCAATGTCAGATCTTTCTCCTTATCGACAGTGTCCAGGAAAGTGCTATTAAAAGAATAGTTGTGCGAGTCTTGAGACCATTTGAACAGCTCATTCGGGTCTTCCTGCATTGTTGTGATAGGGCTTCACTTGCTACCTTCCCAGATACAGTACTGTACTGTATCTTCATACCGTTTGAAAACTTGACAATGTGGCTCTATATATTTTCATCTGTTATTTATGTAGATCACAAACAAGGTGGGTCCAAGGATAAAGCCTTGTGGTGATGGTCAGTGATAGTCGAAAGGGTCAGTGTGTTGAGCGCTTCTTGATATATGGAGTAGGAAGGGGAGAGAATAATCTTGCATGCTCTCTTTTGCACTTTTTCTAGGTGTTTACGTTGTGTGGCATTTAGGGAGGAAGACCAGGTGGGGGAAGCATAGGTGAGCTTGGGAAGT